CCTTTGGAGAAAACATTCTATTTACTTACTTCTGACTTTTTGCTTTATCTATTTGAAACTATTAAATAAAAACTATTTTCTGATACTAATAATTCATATTTGAATAACCATGCCTCTCTGTCAAGTTTTAAACAGAGTTTTAAGTTTCAACATACTCCATCTACCTGAACTACAAATTGTTTGTTATACTTTGTAATGAATTAATAGTGTTTAAATTTTTAAATACTACCAATGTATTTGGTTAAAGGGAGTAAGGTGATTGAAATAACTTATTCAAAAATGCTGACCTAATGGGCTTCACATACCTATCAAGCTCAATATATCCCCTTTGTGTGAGAAATATTGCACATTTACCCTTCTAACAATCTGAAATGAAATGTGCAATATAAGCAACCTATGTATGTAAATTTTTTCAATATCCTAACAAATGCAAAAATGAAATTTTATAAGAATATGATAAGCACAAGTAGTTCAATAGGAATCTCAGAAATTACACCAGAAGACATAATGAAATAATCAAATGCTAGTACCCATTCATAAAATCACAGTGAATTTGACAATTACAAATGTCCACAGACTGGTATTCTCTACTGGTAAGTCAACTACTATAAGCATCACTGCTACTGGCAACAGGATTTTTCAAAATGGTGTAACTACTAGCCAAGTTCAGAACAAAGTTGAGTGTAATCTTTCTCAATACACATTGTGGTTATATACTTAGGAAAATTTAGTGCATGTTGTAACTTTACAAAATATACTTTGTATTTCAATTATGTTCTAGGTTCATTTAAAATTGCACCACCCACTACAGACCTCCTTCCCTGGCCTTACTCACTAAATGCCTTTCAATAACTTTGTCAACCAAAAATACTTATAGAACACCTCCCAGGAAGTAGTATGTCCCCACTGACAAGCAAAGCACTAAACAAGAGTATCTCTTGTGTGCCAAATAACAATTGTAAGAATCTAGTTGATTTATGATGAACTGAAATAGCTACAGTACTAAGAAATTGAAAAATAAACAAGCATAATATAAACTACTGATTTTCATGTTTCTTTTTTCCTTTAGGATCATTAATAGCTTGTATGAATTAAAACTATAAACGGTATTGATAATTAGTTCTAAAAGAGACCCTTAAATTTGGCTCTGCTTTGAAGTTAAAAGAAATTCCTAAGCAATATGAGTATTTGCTGCACAAGTTAGTAAAAACTGAAGAAAAATAAGGCAGGCAAACAGTGACACTTGTGGTCATTCTGAGATTGCTAATTTACAATCAGGCTAATTCCTGCTTTGTAGGTTCAAAGAAAAGTAAAAGTGGTTCATAAATCATCTCTTGACTTCAAAGGAAAATTATAAACTATTAATGAACACAGTAATTTTTCTTCAAAAAGAGAAAACTACCTACTACTTAAAAAACAGCCCAAAATATGCCATTTGTCCACATCTTATATATTATGAAAAATATTTCATCTGATTTTAAGTCAAAAGATATAAGCCTAAAGCAAACATTATTATGCAGAACTGTTGACTGATCTCCATTAAAACTAAAGCTGGTCTCTAAATAACTATGTTAAATGGCATTTTTCCGAGCACTATGGTGGATATTACACATGATCCAAAACATAAAGATTTTTCTACAGCATTGGAAAAAACAACTAGTTCTTCAGATGAGCACTGGCTGAAAAGAAAAAACTGGCTTGCATTTACGGGCCAATTCTCATGCTAAAGCACAAACAGGAATGAAGACCAATGTAGGGAAAACCAGATTCATGTCTCCTCTTAACCTGCCATGGTTGAAGAGTTATCCCTCACTCCCTTTTCTTCTTCATTCTTTTTTTTTTTTTTTTTCAGTTTATTCATTTATTTTGAGAGAGAGTGTAAGTAGGGCAAGGGCAGAGAGAGAAGAGACAGAGAATCCCACACAGGATCTGTGCTGCCAGTGTAGAGCCCAATGCAGGGCTTGAACTCACAAAATCATGAGATCATGACCTGAGCCAAAACCAAGAGTTGGATGCTTACTGATTGAGCCACCCCGGCACCCCTCTCCCTCATTCTTTTTACCAAGGACATTTAGCTAAATTTATACAGACAGTATAATTCCATGAAATGACTTATCATTAGTATTAGTGAGCAAATCTATACCTGATTTATCATGTAATAAAACTCAAAAACTACTAACCACATGAATAAAGTAACAATTACTTCTGTACTCAATAGAAATTAAGAGTCAGGAGGCACTGCAAAAAAAAAAAAAAAAGAGTCAGGAGGCACTGCAAATCCTTTCTTTAAATTCAGCCTCTTGGAGAACTACTGTAGACCTACCCAGGAAAATCCTAAAAAAAAAAAAAAAAAAAAAAAAAAAAAAAAAAAAAAAAAAAAAAAAAAAAAAAAAAAATACCTGGACAGTTCTGGCCAAAACACTCAGAGTAAGAACAGCTTACTTTCCCCATCAGGGACGTGTTATATGATTAAAAAGTAGACCTAGGCAAGTAAAAATTACAAGGCATTTGTAACTATAAAACTTAACAAAATAGCTGCCAGTTTGCTGAGTCTGACAAAGAAATCTGTCACATTTACTGAGAAAGTTTAACCATAGAATTCAGATGTTAAAAGAAACTAGACTAAAGGAAGAAGTTCTACAAGCTTGCCTGTCATAAGATTTTTACAGTTTCTCTTGGCTGGAAACATGCAGGTTGCTAGAAAAAGTCACTAAAGGAACTTTAATCTCACGCCTGCTGTTTTTCTGTACTTTATGTAAAGTTCTTAGCTAGCTTAATTTAAACTTAAGAAACTGATGGCAGGTATACCTAAAATTTAAAATGCATTCTGATTAAGTAGACAGATGCCTTTTTATTAGTTTCTAGGAGTCTCTTTTCCTATATTAACCTTTGTCCCATAGCAAGCAGGGGAATTCTCTCCAGTACTGGGAGAACCATTAACCAGCAGGTTTTCTAATGAGCTCTCTTAATAATCAAGATCTATAAAAATCCAAGGGACACTAAAAAAGAGTGAAATGAAAAGAACTAGCAAAAATAATTGTTTTATCCTTCTTAAAGAAATGATAGGGAATATGTCTAAACCTCTTTGTCTCACTAACGTTTAATAAACTGTGTCTAACTACAAGTATTGGCACAAAGTAGTTGATCAATATGTATTTGATAAGCGAAAATATAAACAAACATCCATTTACAACTCTATGAATGATTTCTGGGTATGCTGTGCCAGTCCTATAAAAAACTCCCCACAATTTCTCCAGTGTTACACAGCATAAATGGCTAAGAACAGTGCATAAAGACTTAGATAATCTTGCTTGAATTCCCAGCTGGACTCTCTTATCACTAACTAGCTGATATCTGGGATAATTATTTACAACTCTAAGCACTGGCTCCCCATCTTTAAAATGGGTATTCTGATACTAAAACTATTATGAGGAAAAAAAGGCTTTTACCTAACAACTTAGGTATGCTTAGCATGCAATCTGATTTGGGGTAAATAATAGTCACTGATGCTAGCTGCACAAATTCTATGTAAGGAATTTCTGAAAAATACAATACTGATCTCCTAAATTCCACTTCCACTTTTGTAAAATACATTATTTTCAGTAGGCACTTAAGCATTATTCTGCTACCTACATTTAAAAAAAAAAAGTAGTGAGCATGTAGTATGAGTGGACACGAACTAAAATAAAAAGCTGGCATTCAATTTTCTCCTTCATATTTAACTACGAAAAGCCAAAGCTCTAGGCCTTAGGTTTCCCATTTATAAAACTCTTTAATATTCCTTCCAACATTTCTGGGAAAGTTGCAAACACTTTAAAGAGTCATAGCATTCCTACAAGTACCAAACTAAAAAAAAGAACAAAAAATTTTTAAATAGTAGAGAAAAGGTAACAGACTTAACTGGGGAAGACAGGTGGGATAAAGCAGATTTATGACTACAAATTTAGGGCTTAGGTTCTAAAACTATAAATTTTTAGGAGTTAATGTCCCTGAAGTCTCATAGGAAAAACTGCTAATTCAGACTCTTTAAAGAGAGAGAAAGAGAGAGAAAAAGAGAGAAAGAGAGAGAGTGAGGGAGAAAGCGCGCGAGCATTCCCCAGTATTCTGCAGAAAAAAGCAAGGTGCCCAGGAGACTAACCACACAAATAAATATTTCAGAGTAAGTATCTAGTCTTACTGAAAAATATGTTTGGAGGTGAGTTAGTAAACAATCTTGAAATATTCAAATAAGTAAATATGATTAGTTAAACCTTATTATCCACCAAGATCCTGTACAAGTGTGTTGTATCCACTATTATCATTTTGTTGAATTCTATCATACATATAATTTTAAAGAAAATAAAAAATGCTGACATTAAAAAGTAATTAAAAATAAAGTTTTGCTGCCTTCAAGAACACTGGAAATCACATAATAGCAAAAAAGAAGTGGGCTGTATCATATCATGTTTCATGAAGCAATCCACTCCAGCTGATTTATAAACTCCAGAAAATTGGGGATGGGGGTATCTAAGTTATAAAAAATAAATGGTCTAACTCTTATCTAGATATTAGAAAAATTGGAATATTTTGAGAAAATAAACTTAAAAGGAAGGGGTGCACTGAAAGGGTTAAATTGTACCCAAGTTACCTTTTCTAAAAGCTTACATTGCTATGTCCTATAAAATCATGGGGAAACATGAAAACCAACATCTAACACTGAAAACACTTAGAAAGCCTGTACTTAAGCATAAAGATAAAAAAAAGGGGGGGAAGAAAAAAAAATTATAATCATTTCATAATCACCCCATTTTCATATTACACTCACCACTATACTTATACTTAATATATATAATTTATCACAAGGAAGCAAAATCCCTATGCTTCTCTCTACCTTAGGTTTTTAGTCAAAATGAATGCAAACAATCACGTGGGATTCAGCCAAGCAGTGACGTTAAATTCTGCTCTGTCAGAGAGAGCATCTGTCAAGCCCACATTTAAACTGCTGCCTGCCTGTGCAGCAGCTGAGGAACTGTGGATTTCATATTATAGACTAAAACCCCAGTAAAACTGCTCAAAATCCTTCCTGCAGCTGCCAGGCAAAAACGAAAGAGAGTTAAATCCTATTCTATTCCAATACAATCGAAGCACTACATTCTAGCTCCGGCTGCTTTACATTGCAGCTCAGTGTTATTACTAGAAATATGGATACTGAGAAGAGAATACAGCACTGCATTGTCCGGCCAGGAAAACAGCAGATGTAAAAAGCTTCAATGCATCAACTGTCGGCAAGAGTCAACAGTGCTCCGAATAGAGCGGACAACTACAGCTCTTTTGTTTAAACAAAGAGAAAGAAAATGAAAGAAAGGAAAAATCTCAGAAGACTGGGACCCATATGAACAAGGAGGGTAACTTGAAGACAAGCAGACAGATGGACACTTTGGATACTGTGAAAAGCAATCGCAGGAGGCAGACTATTGGGGGATGTGCGCATGTTCGATAGCATCTTTTTTGCTGAAGTGATGGCGTGCCAAAAGTATTTTCAGTGGGCATAATCCTCTCCACATAAATGGCCTGACCAAGGAAGGTATGTCAATATCTTGTGTGTAATATTCATTTAAATGTCTGCTACCTTTTTATAGCCCTAAAGGCACTAATATCTGATAAACAAGTTCATCCTGTTCACCGTCCTTGAAAACTATGAAAGGGTTTCTAGATCTATGATTTTAAAATCTGTCATTGTTAAAACTGTCATTGCTATATTCAAGTAAATATGTATCTTGCAGTAATTACAGATTATGGATGTATAAAAGAAAGAAAAGGCAAATAGTAACAAGATGTGCTTACAGGATTCTCTGAGAAATTAAACTTAAAAAGAAAAAAACTAGCTCTCTAAAGAAAACATAGCAAACCTCTACAAAAATAGGTCAAAATGAATTCTTATGTAGTAAAATAAAGTGATCTCTTAAAAATGGCTATCAAAGAGACAATGCAGTGAAATTACATTAAATAGTATCAAAGATGATCTGAATATTAACAGCTTTTTTCAAAGTCCTTTTAAAACAAATTATTAATATATAACAGCTTTTACTAACAAAATCTTCCAAGATCCATCTACCTAAATAAAGATAACAAACACAATCTAAAAGAGTATCAACAAATATTACTATTGAGCTGTAGGAATATTAAAAGGAAAGCATTTGCACAGGCTCACATAAGGCAGTGTGAGTTTTATGCACAGCACACCACCACAGTAGATTTGCATGTTATTACACTGTCCATGAATACAACTTTAAACAAAGAAACATCAATAGTTGGTAAAAATTTCCCCACTTGAAACAGTGAGGTTTCATTTTAAGCAACTCATTTTTAATGATCAAATATAAGATTGTTCTTGGTGATAATTTTTAAGTGAAATTCAAAACATAATGTGAAATTAATCTGATATAAAAATATTCGTGAACAGCAATACAAGGACAAAAAATTAAATAGAAATGTAGTTACTGTGCTTCTAGGCTATATGAATATGTGCTAATGAACTACCATCATGTTTGTATGTGCAGGGCAGAAATAAATCTAATAAACTATTTAAACAACAATCACAGAAGAGCAACTTATGGCTCAGGAATTCAAATGTATTTCATATATTTTTTACAGACTATTAGAGATCCTGATATTTGCTCAGTCCCACAATATAACCACCAACCCATTACTTAATAATCACAAAAGGCAAACATTTTAAAGACATACATAAGCATTCTATTCTAAAATTAAGATTAAACAAGCTTATCAAGCCCTATTATTATTACATCTCAACATCAACTCTGTTATACCATGAATTTTTATTCCACTACAGAATGAAATCAGGTGGTATTCAATAAAAATATATATAGTTGTAAAAATCTCAAGTCTCTTAGTGCTTTTTCTCTTAACGTTAACACCACCAATTAAACACTTTTATAAGCTAGATCTCAAAACAAAAGTATGCAATTTTTTTAATTCAAGCACCACTAAAATCTAGGACTGTTCCAAAAGATTATATATAAACATTTTTAAAAGCCAAACAATAAAAAGAGTGGTGTGTGTGTGTGTGTGTGTGTGTGTGTGTGAGAGAGAGAGAGAGACAGAGCGTGCAAGCATGTGAGAAGTAACTGAACAGTTCACAGCAACATTCTTTCCATGAACTTCAATTCATAAGATATAAATACACATTAATAACTTGAAAAAAATTATCTTAAAAAACCCTAAGAACTAAAAGTATTTCTATGCTGAAAATGGAGAAGTGACAAACTATTTAGATTGACAAAAATATTTTAACTTTATTGTCATGTGCCCACTTTTTAAGAACTAATATAACAAGAACCAACCAGAGAATCATTTTAACATTTAATAAAAAGGAAGATGTTACTTAATCTTACTTTTTTAACAGAAAAATTATGATGAATACCTGAGAAACTTTTAATAAAGAAATTTTTACAACTAGACACATGCATTGTATTTATCAATGGGAGATTACTAAATGAGTATATGTGGTTTTAAGCCTGGGAAGCTTAATATTTATAAATATTAAGTCATGAGTTTAACTTAAGATGCATCTTCACCACCAATTGCTAAAAAATCTTATAGGACCATAAACTATGTATTTATGCTAGATTACACTATATAATAATATGCTGTTTTCTGTAACATGGATATACTTTAGAGATATCACTTCAGGTATATTGCTTTCTTAAAAATATCAGTTTTTTACGATATTCATCTTCATTCACTTCTTCATCTATTCAAAAATCTGACCTTATATTGCTTCTTAAACCATTAAATTTACACTTTTAAAAGATGTAAATGACTGGACTTCAACCAGGTATCAAGTACATAACAACAAAAAGTTGACATATTTAATTTAGCTTTGGAATGTTTAAAATATACCAAATAAATTTAAAAAGCAACTTTTGTTACTTTTAAATATATACACATAACCCTTATGTCTACTGGCTTCTTTCTGGAGTGGAGGAAGTACTGTTGCTATTTATCAAATAATTCATTTACAAATAAAAGATTAGAAAGAGTGTCCTGGTCTAAACAGGATGGCCAACTCTTAACAAGTACATGAAGGAAAAAACTGATTTTCTAAATCAGAACACTCAGCTTATTTTCAGTTTAGCTCACAACAGCTATGTTTTGCTGGTACAGTGAAAAGCCTTGGTCTTTATCATGGCAATGTGAAATTAAAATTCATGTAAATCAACTTTAATAAATAGCAAACTAGATTCTGGGTTTTTTAAAAACCCAAACTCAAAAAAAAAAAAAAACACTGTTCATATCTCACAGGATGATTAATTTTTTTATTTGAGAACCATAACTTCTAAAAGTACTACATAATTTCAGACACTAAAAATTATCAAAAGCTGGCGCCTTTACTATTATACTTTGGAAATTTCTTCAAATTCCCACCTACTTGCTCCTCCTAGTGGCTTTTACTAGAATAGTACTTTCATTCATATATGTCTAACAAATATTTCAAAGTACTTCATACTACCTAATACATGAGTTTTACTATAATTATTCAATTATATGAAAGCTTCCTTGTAAATACTGTTATTTTCCCAAAACAATTAAGTTTCACGCCAAAGTTAAACAAATTTGGCATTAAGCATGAATTTCTTAACATCATGGACTAAACACATAGGTTATGTATAGAATTTTAAATAAACAAATGCTCCTACATTAAATTTTTAAATTGGCTAGTTTCTTTTGCTTAAAGAAATAATTTTCACAATAAAAGGTTGAAAAAATTAAAATTAATTATTACTCCCCTTCTCAACAAGTTTTTTCTCTTTAAAGGCTAAATTTAAGCTACAGTCCCTTACTCACCTCTACCCCCCATGCCTTGATCTAGAAAAATTAAGAACTGAAAGCATGAAAAATATGTGCTATGAACTGAAAAACCTTGCTAAACGGTAACACCAGCAGTTCTTAATATGGAGAATCATGAACCTCCCTTACTGACATCTCATAATCTTGTTTTAAAAGCTAGGGTCTTAGTAAGTGTCATACCACCAGAAGCCCTAAAAATGTAACAACTTGTCTACACACAAATATAGAACACAGCAAACTCAAGAATCTTTTAAAGTGCATTTTGTAAAATTTTAAATTTTAAACAGCTGGATATGACAGTACCTAGAGCCTATATTTTTAAGAAATCTGAAAGGACTGTTCAAAGTAGTTCTTTGTTTAATTCTAACATGGAGACTGAACTGAGATATGTGATAGTGTTCTGCCAAGGCCAAAGATAATTAGATAATTAGTTACTATATTTTAAAAATCAGTCTTAAGTCTAAGTAAGGATCATGATCTCCTGAATACCTCATCTTTGAAGTGGAAGGTTAAAATTAGAAAAGAGTATTTGAAAATGTTCAAAATTTACTACTGTCTTAAAATCCTGTACTGAAGTTACTGGACCCTGAAAATTAATTTTGACAGGTGCATCTTCTCATTGACTTTCTCAACACAGTAGGGGCCAATGGAAACATGCCAAGCAGTGTACTGTGACTAACAGAACCCTGCCATAATCAACCTTGCACCGTCTGTCCCACAACTGATACATGACCGTTTTACAAAAAAGGCCGCTGACTGTGCACCATACCACCAATGGTATGTCAAATCAATTTTAATTAATGCCAATAAATTTTCCATCTGCTCTCAGGCCTTCTTACATGGCCTCTCTCAGGAATCTAGTAACATTCTTCTCTTCTACATGCATACAACTTTTAAATCTTTAACTCAGGTCAAAAGCACAAATGACCAGAGCTACTCAGACAATGAAATAAGTGGAAGAAAATTAATCCATCACTTCTCTCTTTAAAGTGCTCATCCTGTTCTCAGTGATGTCACATTACCAAGGATAAACAGACTATAAACTTCATTCCTGGGTTATCATATTTTCACAACTTAAAAACTCCTATTTGCCCTAATATTATTAACATCTGATGTCTCTTTTCAGGCAGTTCTATAATATTTTGCATTTTGTAAATTTTTATGCTTCATCTTTATAGAATGACTGCACGGGAGACAACGTGACTGAGTTAAAAAATGATTACCAAAGAAAAGTACTGATTCAGGAGAAGAAAACATTTTCAGCCTCCAGTATCTCATATCCCATTACTGGATTTACAACATGCTTCAGTGGAGGAGAAGACACTGCTGCTTTGCAAAGATGAGCTGGAATGCCAAGAGGTCTCTGTTCCGTACCCATCTTATTGGTGTACTTTCTCTAGTGTTTCTTTTTGCTATGTTTTTGTTTTTCAATCATCATGACTGGCTGCCCGGCAGAGCTGGATTTAAAGAAAACCCTGTGACATATACTTTCCGAGGATTTCGTTCTACAAAAAGCGAAACAAACCACAGCTCTCTCCGGAACATTTGGAAGGAAACAGTCCCTCAAACTCTGAGGCCTCAAACAGCAACTAACTCCAATAACACAGACCTGTCACCACAAGGAGTTACAGGGCTAGAGAATACACTCAGTGCCAATGGAAGTATTTACAATGAAAGAGGTACTGGACACCCAAATTCATACCATTTCAAATATATTATCAATGAACCTGAAAAATGCCAAGAGAAAAGTCCCTTTTTAATACTGCTAATAGCTGCAGAACCTGGACAAATAGAAGCTAGAAGAGCTATTCGGCAAACTTGGGGCAATGAAAGTCTAGCACCTGGTATCCAAATCACAAGAATTTTTTTGTTGGGCGTAAGTATTAAGTTAAATGGCTACCTGCAACGTGCAATATTGGAAGAAAGCAGACAATATCATGATATAATTCAACAGGAATATTTAGATACATACTACAATTTGACAATTAAAACACTAATGGGCATGAACTGGGTTGCAACATACTGTCCACATATCCCATATGTTATGAAAACTGACAGTGACATGTTTGTCAACACTGAATATTTAATACATAAGTTACTGAAGCCAGACCTGCCTCCCAGACATAACTATTTCACTGGTTACCTAATGAGAGGATATGCACCCAATCGAAACAAAGATAGCAAGTGGTACATGCCACCCGACCTCTACCCAAGTGAACGCTACCCTGTCTTTTGTTCTGGGACTGGTTATGTTTTTTCTGGAGATCTGGCAGAGAAGATATTTAAAGTTTCTTTAAGTATCCGTCGTTTGCACTTAGAAGATGTGTATGTCGGGATCTGTCTTGCCAAGTTGAGAATTGATCCTGTGCCCCCTCCCAATGAGTTCGTGTTCAATCACTGGCGAGTTTCTTATTCAAGCTGTAAATACAGCCACCTAATTACCTCTCATCAGTTCCAGCCTAGTGAACTGATAAAATACTGGAACCATTTACAACAAAATAAGCACAACGCTTGTGCCAATGCAGCAAAAGAAAAGGCAGGCAGGTATCGCCACCGTAAATTACACTAGGAAAGACAATTTTTTTTTCGAATGTGCAATCTGTAAAATATTGCTAAAAGCATGTATAGTTAAATCTGATTACATCCATAGGACAAGTTTTAGTTAAAACTCATCACATAAAGAAATTCAAAAAATATTTTTTTAATTTCTGAAGGTAATTGTTAAAAAAAAATAACATTATATAACAAAAAGTTATCCCAAAAGAATCTATTTAAAAAAAACTGTTTAAGGGGATTCTGTGTATTAACATGCAATAAAAAGCATGCATACATCAATGGTTCAAGGCTTATGTTAAGGGCCAATAAGATGTATTTGCATATATTTTCCACATAAATTTTAAGAAACGGAGACAAAAGACCCTTCATTTTAGATTCAGCTTTTCATTTTAACATACAATTAAATGTAAATAAAACATTATTGTCAATCTTAAAAAGAAAATTTGTAATTGTGCAAAGGACAAATTTTCTGACCTATTCTAGGGTTCTAAAACTATATTCCGTGCAATAAGATTTAGTTGAATTATTCCATAAACACATTTATAAAGTTCAGATGTTTCATCAATGCAATTCTCATCTAAGTATTTACCTTTCAATAACAATTGGGATACTCATTTTCTTTTATTAGTACATATATTTTGACATGTGATAAAATGTGAAAAATCAATGTGTCTCAGGCTCAAGTTTTTATAAGAAAAAAAAGTAAATGTTTTAAAATAGTTTGTTTCCTTGTTGGTGTTAAGGGCCAAGCTAGTATTTCAATGAATTATTCTATTAGATCAGTTACTGCACTCTTAAGGAGTACTAAGAGTGCACTTAACTTCAAGGATATCTGTAAAAATACGTCGTGTTCCTCCAACTGAAGCGAAAGTAATTACTTACAGTCACAAAGAGAATGTACTGTTGAAAAAAGATACAGGATAAAGAGTGTAGCAGCAGTTTCATTCAATACATTTTTAAGATGCATGTCTGCCAAACTGCAACATATGGGAAGTTTATTTCCTGACAGCAGGTGTACACATGCCAATACTTAATCATTTTATGGCACCTACTTCTTTCTCTGAGTGCCAAGTTTACAAACCTGCGGTTTTTAATTTGGTAGATGACAACTAGTCTGTGTTACCAATTTAAAACCTTTTTGGGGATGGATGGGGGAAACTACAAATGTTTGATGAACACTTGATTCTAGGGTGACAATGTATACAATGCACTTTTACCAAGTTTTTAATAAAAAAAAAGTAAACAAAAATATCTTTACTGAGTGTTACAGTACAAATATTTACAGTAATTTTGTTTGGCTCCATTACACAGTTTAAAATCAAGAAATAGTAACCCGCTAAGTTTTAAAGTGTTTTTAATTCATAAAAGTATGTAAAACTCAACGATCTTAATCTAATGAAGATGTTATTTATCCTAACTGTAATGACCATCATTTTTATCCTTGATTCAATTCTGAACAGATACTGTACCAAACAGAAATGTAATGACTGTTAAAGTTCAGAATCTCAGAAACTGCTTAAGTACTTATTATTTTAATATGTTATATTCCATTTATACTAAATTTATCTCCCACTTTCAATTCAGTAATCTAAGTATTCTATTCTACATAGAGTAATTTTGAAAGCCAAGCTATATATATATATATATATATAAAACATCCAGCTCTTCGTTAAGTCCATTTTCACTTAATTTATTCTATGTGATTATAAAAACACTAAAGTTACTAAATGCCAAAAGTCACTAAATAAAAGTCACACATAAGAAGATAATACCCAATTAGTAAGTTTCAGGAAAGACAAAAGTAATCCTTCAATGTAGAGTAATTCTCTCATTTATACTTCAGATGTTTTTTAAAACGGTATGTGTGTATACATGTATGCATCCACAATTATGTACCCAGAAACAGAACCTAAGCACTATCTGCCTAAATTATGATTACAGTGCAGGATCTTTAAAAAATAGTATTTTCCTTCTGGAAAAATTCAAGTTTAAAAAGTTGACTTATGAAAAATAGAATTCTTAAGAGACAACAAAATTCCTCCTATCTTAGACATCAACTTAAAAAATTTCAATACCCCTGAGAATACTATCTTGAGAACTGACAGTAATCTGATAACATGGACTTCTCAAAGAAAACTGGATCAAATAACAAAGTTTCCTCGTAGTGCTGAAAATGTGTATTTTAAAATAAATATTATATTAATTTATTCTTGACCTTCCATTCTAATTATGCAAGAGTAATTCTACAGAAAATATGAATTTTTATATTATAATATCTCAACATCTCACCAAGTAGTAACTGTCCCTTATTCATGCCCAGTACTGTGTGATTATGATTACACATGAAAATATAATTTTAAATTATATTTGCACTATATTTGGTCAAAGAAAAAATTCAGGAACAACTATGTAATCTTTATAATCAAAATGTTAATAAATATTTTAGAAGAAAAAATACCAAAACTTTCAATAGTTACACTAGTTCATTCTGATCAAGTTTATAAGGTAGTAAAAGTCTAATTCAAGTAAATAATTTAAATTTCTCACCTTTTAATATACAGCAGAATCACATACACCTCAACTGGAATCTTACTGATACCTATTACCAAAAACCCCTATAAAAACAAGATCAACAGTGGAAGCAGGAGCTATTTAACTGACAGAGCATACACGATATACCTGGTACTTTTAAACCACTTTACATACATGATCTCAGAGAACTCTTACAAATGACACTAAAAGACAGGAAAGGAAGACTCATGCAAGAAGTTAGATACCTAAGATGCCACAGCTCGTAAAAGCAGCAAAGCTCCATCTGAAAGACCATGCTCTGAACCACTATGTTATTCTGCTGTGTATTTCACATATGACACCTTCAGTAAGGTCTAAAGAGCTAAGCAAAAATGACCTGTCCTCTAATTCTACTATTCTCTGCTTATTCTTCATCTTTTGCCAGGGAAGGCTTCATAACCATTTTCTCACACTGGAGGGGCACCTGATGTTAGGTGCAAATAACCATTTACATCTGGTGGCCAAAACCTTAGAAAACCATAAGCTTATTGCTTATCTCTTGCTTTTTTGGGCTCTGAGATACATCTGTAAACAACAGGCATATGTCACAGTTAGAAATTATAAAAAGTGACTACTTGGAAGCACAATTAGATAATTTCTAACAGACAAAAGTAGCAATGTATTTACTTACTCTACTAGTCAGTCACATACTGCTTTGGGACGAGGTGGTAAAATTCTTTTATCCAGCTGATTTCAGGGTTTTTTTTTTTCCTTTTCAGTTTTTACTGCTCAACTACAAAATCTGACTATTAGATTAACATAGCTTTAAGAAGACATAAAAGAATATCCCTATGATGCATACATTTCTAATACACCTCACAGAATATCAGTTTATCACTTAAACAGTACTCTCAGAAAACAGGGTATGTATACAAATACATCGCTGAGTTTCAGCGAGACACCTGTCATGCACTACACATCAACACACACGCACACCCTTCCTCTAACCATGATATATATATAAATCTTACTATTTCAAGATACAATATGTCAAAAGAGGAAGAAAAATGTTTCTGTATCTATAGGAACTGTTTCCTCTCCCTTTACCAGAGCAAATATCTGTGCTAAAGAACAACTGGAGCTAACCTAATGGTCTCAGCCTGTTTATTAATCTAATCATTTCAACTTCCAACTGAATGTGACAGATTTTAAATTTGAATCTCACTTTCGACAGTATCCTAAACACTGAAAAAACCAGATCAACAGCGTCATAAAAATATTAAGTAACACAAAACTGTAACATTATACATAAAATCTTAAATTCATGTTTTTGTGAATCTTTAAATGTTTAAAATACACAAATTTATACAATAGAGTAAAACTAATATGGGTGTATGTCATAACTAAAATGCTATTAAAACATTAGAATATAGATGACAGAATTAACATGAGATTCTGATGGCAATGAGAATTTTCTAACATACTGAAGGTTTGAAACAAGTTAATAAAAATCACATTAAAACCACATTTATTTAAAGAAATTTAATAAAACTGTTTCTATTTATTATTTAAAAATAAATACTATCAGAAAATTAAAACTAGAAGAAATCACAAGTCACAGCCAAAATCTACTTGATTATCAGACAAAATTAAGAAGAGAAATAAAAATGTTCAGTAAACCCATGGTTAGATAATGTTTTATGGGCTTAACAATAGTTTTCAAACTAATTTCCTCAGGTGTCTCAGTTAAAATTAGTAAAACCAGGAGAGCTGTGTTTTAGAGTCCTGCCCTCACTTTAATACAACTGCATGTTTGCGTTTAAACGAAGATTCCAGGTCAAAGTTCATTTGCAAAGAATGACCAATGTTTATTTGCTTTTTATTCCCCATTGAGAACTACCTCAATGATTCTTGAACTGAAATACAACCACAGAAAAGAGAAAAATACATATATTTACTTATTATATAACATCCAATATATCAACTCAAAGAATAAAAGGAACTCAATTAGTCAAAAGAAAGATTAAAATATTTAAATAAGAGACTTAGACATAATAAGCCATTATACAATACAAATAATAAAAAAAAATTCCACAAAGGCAACATTTTAAAAATAAGGGATAATCATAAGTAAGAGGAAATTCTCTGGTGAAAAATAAACTTTTACTAAGAGGTATAAAAATTCTGACAAGAACAGACCATTATTTTTAGTCAACAAGAATACCTACTTTTATAATGGATGTTATTACCCAACTAACATGTTTTCTTCATCTGTATTTTCTAAATACAACAGGGGAAAAACTGTTGTAATACATGTGGTCAGTGTAAGCCCAATCAAATGAGCTTTTTTCCTAAGTTTTTAGTGTGTATGGATGAAAAATCACAAAATGATTATACAGTTAATATGGAAAAAAGCATCAGTAGCTAAGAAATATTGAAAGTGATCATAAAGAATTTACTATAAAGCTGGGCACCTGGGTGGCTCAGTCAGGTTAAGTGCCCAACCCTCTTTGTTTCAGCTCAGGTCATGATCTCATGGTTTGTGAGTTGAAGCACATATCCGGCTCTGCACTGGCAGTGGAGACTACTTTGGATTCTCTCTCTCCCCTTCCCTCTGTGCCCCTCCCCCACTTGTGCTGTCTCTCTCTGTCTCTCACTAACAAGCTAATGATTATCATATCATATTTGTACTATATCTCGCATTATAAGCACGTGTTCACTAAAGTTATTCTAAGATTTAATAAATTTTAAATATTTTTAAAGAATTTTTGAGAAATATATATGATAATCAAAATTTTAACAAAACGACAGGATTAAAAGATCTTTGAGATACTTTTTTCAATCATTCAAACATCTTTTGAAAGCCCATAATATGCTGGGTACAGACACTATGATGATAACCAGTTAAGATGGTCTAATATATGATGTTTGGGTACTTGGACAGCCATACGAAAAAAAATTAGATTTGTTCCTCAACCATATATTAAAAACATTTCCAACCAGATAAAAGATCTAAATGTAAATAACAAAACAAACCAGTTCCATGGGGGGGGGGGGTTGTGAATTCCTTTATTACTTGAGAGAAGAGTTAATTTTCCTGATTACGACAAAACTACTTACTACAGAAGTAGTAAGAAAGTTATAAATGTGATAAGAAAAGATTCTGAAAGAAA